TATGGAAGGAGTCTGTTCCAGACTGCATTTGTATTTTGCCGAAGCTCAGACTCTGGCACAAGATCGGAAAAATTGGAAGCTCTGTCTGACGAATCTGCCTCGGCGACACGAAAGGAGAAGCGGCGATGGAAGATGAAGATGAATCTCTGGTGGAGTTTTTACCAGATAATGATGATTATGGCTGCAGGCATAACCGCCCTGGAATATCAGTACCAGAATGACTTATCCCCAGGATAGTATCCCAAAGGTGATCAGTTCGACGTCTTGACACTGCCATCGAAGGCTGCTAATCCAACCACCAGTGTATGACAGAAGTAACACTCGTTTTCGTGTTTTTTGGAAATTGTTACGCTGGACGACGATGATAAAAAGGCTTTGGCAGTTAAGGCACTTTGGCCTGAAGTATCCATTTTCATTTTATATCTTTCCTACTTCTGACTGAATCTGTTATTTTCCACAGTATTTATTATTCCTTCCAACGCGTATCATCTTGACAACCAACGTGAGCTTCACTGTATGCGTGAACAAAATTTTTATCACTGAAAAACGTACTTGAAATCATAGATAGCTATGGTTATCGAAGAAGTTGGTAGTTCTTGTCATCATTGCGTACTTGTCCTCGAATTTCTGCACCGTACTGAAAATATCTGCATATGGCTTTACTCACTTTACTTTACTTTATTTGGTTGCCGAAAAATGGCCTCTCTTTTTGCCTCTGCCTTTGCTTCACTATCGTCCTCTCCCATCTTCCCGTTCATCACCGCCTCTGTTTCTCCCTCTTCCCATTTACGTTTTTTGGAATCTGCGTATTGCCTCATCTTGTCTAAAAAATGTAACATTTGTATGCGAGTAAATATTGGAATGAAGCGAATTGCGTAGGTTCGAGTAAAGTCTGGTTTGTTCGGATGAAGAACGTTTTGACCACGTGTTAGGCTTCAGCGACGTCGTACACGATTGCCTAGCTCTTCTGTGATACAATAGTTTCAGGATCGTGAAATGATATGCACACAATGGACGCTATTCGAAAATGAGGAAGTAATAGAACGCGCTGTCGAGCGATTCAGGGCTCGTCAAACCTATTTGACATTTATTCCTACTCTTCCTGCCTGAAGCGACGGCATTTCCATGGTACTTCGTCTCAACTCCATCGATCGTTGTTTGTTCAAATTTTTGTGGTACTTCATCTCCAGTGTCATTCTGTAAATCGCTGCAAGTAGATGATGAAGCGACGAATCAATGCACCTGCCATTCGAACTAAGATTGTTCTGACGCAGGCATGTTTTTATATCATATCCAAGATTTTTGACACTGAAGTCGCAGATCCACATTCAACACGAGAATTTGAGGTGATCTCCATATCTCCGTAGAAAACTTGTCGATTTGTTTACGAGGAGTCAAGCCAACTTCTGTCGATGCAAGGTCATTCTACTGTGTTTCATTACCGCACTTTCATTGTTGCAGCATTCACCTCGTCTCTGTGCCGTTGACTGCTGGAATTTGTGTAGTACTTATTTTCCCTCAATTCTCAAGCCATCTTGGTTCTGTGGAAGTAGATACGAGACAGTGCGAGCGAGTGCACCTTCCAGTTGAACTAAGAATTTTCAATTCAGTAATGAGGAATTGAATCCTCTGTTTGTCGGCCAACGATCGTCTGCACGCACTGTGCGTTTATCCCGCTCTGTCTTGACTCTGATAGATTCTGCCCTGCCCTCTGTTGTCACTGTCCTGCCCGATCGTCCTCAATTTCACTCTTGTTCTGGTCGTCACGGATTATTGATCGTCGTCGCGACGCGTTATGTTTACTGCGGCGGCAGTCTCCAGCTCGGCGGCACTGGAAGTTCGTTCGTCGCTGACCGCGTTTTTTCATCAGCCCCTGCGAAATGCTCGTGCCGGACGAGTATTGATCCACATGTGCAGTTCGATCGTTTCCAATGTTCCTCAGTGCTATCTCTTCGTCGGAGCGCAATGTTTGTTTTGGCGTTTTATTTTCGATCATCAACAGCAGCCGCAGTAGCTCTGGTCGTTCCTTTGGTTGACTTCCTCAGCGCTCCACCGTCGACGACGACGAAGACGAAGACGAGCACCGACCCTGTCGCCACCACCGTAGCCGTCGCCGTTGTTGCAGCCGCATCGACGCGTCTCTTCTTCGGCGTCTTCGCCCTCGTTTTCCTTCTTCTCCTCTTTGTCGTCGTCGTCCAGCGTCAGTCGCCGTCGTCGAAGCCGGCTCGTCACATGGTAACGTTACTTTCGTCGGTTCGTCGTTAGTTGTTCTTTTTCCCTCCTATCGTCGTTCTGTCCTCACCTGCTTGTGTCTCTGAGTGTCTGTCTGTCCATCGGTCGGTGCGGACGCTGTGTTTAGGACGACACCACGACAGCAGACCCTCTGGCCACCATCACCGCAAACAGCGCCGTTCAGCACAGGCAGTTCTTCGTCACTCCCACGGCCACGGCCACCACCGGCACCGGCACCGGCACCGGCACCGACATCGATCACTGCCAGGTACTCTCGCCCTTAATCTACCCTAAGCCCGAACTCATTCAGCGTGTCTGTCGCATCATCCATCCATCCATCCATCCATCGGCCCTCGTGCTAATGTCTGTGCATGTGGAGACATCCGCAGCTTTGCAGGCCGTTCTATTTACTCTGACGTTTTTTACGCATCTGTGCCGTCGCCGCACCCGCTGAACCACCGACCATCTTTTAACACTCTTTTTGACTTCTCATATTTGTGTGTCTAATTCTTCACCATCTCGCTCACAACGTATCCACATATCCCCTAATTCATACATACATTATTTGGTCCAATTCTGACTGCTCTGTCGTGGCACAGCTGTTCATAAAGACTGCCATCAACCAACTACAGATTCGCGATTTTAGCAGACTACGCAAAAAGTCGTTAGCTCATTCGTTATCCGTATAATTAATTATGTTTAATGCCTATCGTCGCATGATCGTTTTTCGTCATTCCGTTTACTGAAATCCAGCCGTTATTAACTTTGAGCGAAAAGAAAACGTTTTTTATAAATAACCTGTATCGATAAACAATTCCAGTTCTCGTTTGTGCTCATGTTCGAGCGATGTTTGCGTTTTGTTACACAGTAAACAACTGGACAAATGAGAGTAGCAGTCTCCTGTCACTTCTTCGAATTTACACAGTACCGTTGTGTTGGGCCGAACCGGCATTCAGGCAGCTACGCGGCTTTGCATCTAAGCACTGCAAGTAATGTAACACTGTGGAGCTGGCGCCTGCCTAAACGGTCCACTTGGCGGTTAGAAGCAAGTGGTTGCTACTGTGATATTCAAACCCGGACCCGGAGAAGTGACAGGAGACTGTAATTCGTACCGGCCGGTTGGATTGAGCTTTAGCACTGTAATAATATCCGTACAGAGTGACTCCGTTCAAACTAATTCAAGAATGCTATGGGTTCTCCCAGGTCACTAATTAAATATCGGAAACTCATTCATCTACGTTATGAACATCGCTTTCTCCGTTGCATTTGCAAGAGATGAAAAAATGCATGTCTCTCCTATTTTACATTGAGGAAACCCTTCACCGTTAATCCGAACTGTTTGACGGAAGTTTCCGTGTACCAAAATTCGACTGATTTTTTATCCTTATACTATTCGACATAACAGGTCTCTATTTTTTCAGACTATTTCATATACTTTTTTTTTCTAAATCCATCTTGAACGCTATGAAGTTGCCTGGACTGATGATGTTCGAAAAGAACACTCACGATTGGTCTAACCAACTTTGTTATTCTATTACTTGCTGAGATCAGCGTATTCCATACCAAAATCTCTTCTGATAGACAATTTTTAGAAAAATTCCACATGGACTAAATGAATCCTGTAGTCAATTGATGAGAAACTAATAAAAAAATTTTGTAGTATTTTGTAACAGCTTCGCTATGTTAAACGAAGCCAAAAGCAAGCGTCTAAGAGATTCGTGTCTGTCTTCAGGTTCGTCGATGTAGCTGGAATTTTCAAGTCTCATTTCAGGACTTGCAATATTCATTCAGGAGAGTTAAGCTTGTACGTGGCCTTAGTTGAGCATTCGATACTCACGAACCTTCTACATACGCGAATCGACGGAAAAGCGAATGTCCGAATGTCCGTATTGCCCCTGTCGAAAGACGCACATATCAAACAATATGACAGTGCATAGCATTGATTCTCGAACATTCAGATCGCGCTGAACACTCGCCATTTTTCGCGTGTTATCGACTTTTCTCCTATATATTGATCTATCGCAACGCAACACATTCAGATGAATTCTTTGCTCATAGCAATTAACAGTGAATCGCAAAAATTTTCCTCCTCGCCTCATTTCGAACCTCGATCTCTCGGCAGTAAAGTCGTAAACAACGTTCAATGCTTCTCTGTCGAAGATTAACATAATTCCTCATTACGTCTGTATCTGTGCCTATGACGTTTCGCCAAAACTGTTGTGCCTTCAGATTCAGCAAAACCTATTGATAATCTTATATTTGAGTGCCGTAGGAACAGAGGGATTTTTCTTCTCCAGGTTTGTAAATCTTAATCCAAGTTTATGGAAGTCTAATTCCGTAATAGACACTCGTGTTCGTCACAACCGAAGTATGTTTTCGCATGTCAAGGTTAGCGCGGCGGAAGTAACTCTCAAAGTTTACACCGGTGACTGCGAGCGCTTGTCTCAAATGCCGTAAATTTCGATTTCTGTTAGCTGTGCTGTGGTAACCATGGGCTAACAGGTCTCTATGTTGAAGCAAGCTCGTTTGGAGTAGCATTTTTTACACATCAGCGCTATTGACAGAATTTGATTCTGCACTCAGTCTTTTCTCAGGAAGGCATGAGGTTGAGGTCATCATCACGTTGTTTATTTTCAGAGTGATCAAATTTTAAATTAGATTCTTCAGCACCAGAAAATTTGAAAATCGGAAATCAGAAAAATGGGCGAAAAATTAGTCGTTAGTCCATGGGTTGTTCCAATTAACTACAATATTGACCATGAGAAGAGCTATATTGTACTGCAATCATTGAAAGTTCATTATGTGTTACAGTAGGTCGTTTCTGACGGTTACATTCTGACCTAAAATGTATTTCAAATGATCTAAAAAAAAAGTTGACATGGTTCGATCATTCGAAGTGAAGCAGTTGAGCGTCATTAACTTGTCAGCTGCACTCGTGGGAATTCAAACACGCACTATGAAAGATTGGTCGCCTTGCGTCACATGGTGGAGGTAACTAAATAGAAATATGGTATCGATGAGGAGTTTTTCCTCGTCGTTGCCGTTGATGCATCCAAATATCAAAGTGTGAAACATTTAGAAGAGGGAACTTCTCTACTTTCTACCGCCGGGTTCTGCACGGTGGTGAAAATGGTCATTTCAAAACAGAGGAAGCTATAAGGATATATACGTGATATAAGGCGTATATCACCTTTATAAGTCCGTAACACGGATATAAGGCGTATCCACGCCTTGCCTATGCTACTAGCAGCCTATGGTCTCCTCCAGTATGGTATTACAGCGCCTGAGATGCATCGATGAAACAAATGAAAACTTTCTCACTCTGTTCAGTCGAACATTAACTTTCTTAAAATTTGAATACCGGCGTTAATCTGCATGTGCATGCATACGCCTATGGATCGACGTACATCAGCTGGCGTTGGAACATAGTTGTGTCCTACCAGATACAGTGATGCGGTTTTGCATGCATACGTTGCAGTTGCTAAATTACTCTAAAAGCCTGTCTTCTTCGAAGGAACTTCTGTGCCTCCAGAAGCAAGTGGCTGATAAAACGGGTCGTGTAAGTCCGGAAGCGACAGGAGACTTTTATGCTCACTGACCGGAACGAAAACGAGCTCTTTGGCAGTGATCCACGAATACCTGGGTAAATTTGGCAGAGCATCACAGGAGTAAGGTGTGATATAATGCAAAAGTGAGAAACCATGAATTTAGTACACACGGCGCAAGTTCTTGGTTTATCGAATGATTAGCTACCATAAGGCTTTTAGGCCTCCGCCGCTGGCGATCGAATCCTTTTAGGGGCGATATGCTGGACCTTAAGTGATTCTTGTTGCCATCTGCAACAGTTGGAAAGTTTCGAGCCTCTAAGTAGCTTTTTGGTGCATGTTGCTGCCTTGATAGTTACTTTGCAACTGATTCGTTGAAATTCACCCAATTCCCGCGGTACTCGCAATCTGTGAGCTTTTTTCACGGTTGACGTGGGTCCATGATGGGAGAATAATTTTTTCATTTAGTACATTATAACTTACGCTGAATTGGTCTGCCATGACGGTAGACAAATTCGGATGGCAGACATAAAGCGTCAGGACAGTACAGTCATAACTCCAGCTCTTTCTGGCATTTTCGCATCGGAACACCAGCCGGTTCCCTGTTGTTGCTTGATTACGAATTAGGGTGAGATGAATTTCTTGCTCAGAGCAATTTGCTTTCAATAAGAAATTTTTGGGCGGCAGTTTTATTTTAGTTTAACTTTTAAAGTGAAGAGTCCAACGACTGTGTCGTTGTCCCTCCTGCTTCCCCCCGCAAGAATGCCTTTATGAAATGGATTTGAAACTTTCGTTGCTGCTTGAACCTCCAAACTCCTGAAGACGACATCAGCAACCTCCAATGGTGTATTTCATCCTGCATCATGTCCATACGTATGAAACGAAATATCAATAGTAGCTTATTATCCGATAAAGCAACAATTTTGTTGTTTATTATTAAGGCCGTTCATCATGCTGTTTTTCTGGATGACTGTCATTGCAAGAACAACCAACTCAATGTCATATGATGAAGCATTCCAATATATTATGTGCACCTGACAGGTGCGGTTGGCCTTGATTTTGCTATTATTTATCACCGTAGTCATTAGTGATAAAACTTGGCAAAATTAAAGAAATTAAATTAAAGAAAAGCTTTTATATTCATGACATTGCTTTATCCATAGAAAATCTTAGAGACAAAAAGTTGATTACAGATTCCTCCTTCAATTAAATTTACTCAGTGGCTTAGCACTCTGAAACAGGTTCCGTTCAACTGTTGCTTCTTATTATTGTCGGTCGTACTCGATTATGCATTAAATCTCGCACTTTCAGAGTAGGCAAAGGTTGACCGTGGCAAAACTGTTTTCAAGGCTTCTCCGCTATCAGCCTACGTTGTAGATGGGACAGAAATTATCATTACTCAGTCACGTGAATTAAAGAAGTGTGATGTACTGGCATGATATCATCGGTCCTTGGAAAGATGATAATACCAAACTCTTTTTTTTTCGGTCTCCTCCTCAGTTGATATCATATATTACGCGGCAGAAAATCTAGCACCGTTCTTTTCCTGATGTAAATATTCGGCGTTACTTTGGTTTTTATATCGGTGTCACTTTTGGGTTGAAATCTTTCAATATTTTTGTTGATATTGATACACTCTCAAGTGATTTTCATCGTTTCACCAAAATGCAGAAATTTTCACTCCTGTTTGCTGTTGAATAGCAAGTGATGAGGAATAGGGTGTTTCAAAATCCATTTGTTCAGGTGCTCCCATCGATCAGACTTCTGTTGGCAGTATTTTATTTTAAATAGTATCAAGTCCAATAATTGAAAGAGATTTTCAGGCATACTTTTCAGGCAATTTTCTGTAGTCGATGTAAATAAAGTTTTCTCCTCCTGTCAGGTAGACAGAATTCGGCAAGTTCGAAGC